ATGAGGACGTGCTGCGGTCTCAAGCAACATCTCTCCAGAACATCCACTGCTACCCAGTCTTTAGAGCACAGCAACCACAAACCAGCTTTCCTGAATCTGACCAGGCCTAAGCAGGTGCAGATGCTTTCCTGGATTGGGGCTTCAACTGTCAGTAAAGTATTTTCATACTCTAGATTGCACCCTTTCAAGTAAGAATTTCACTCCCTAAAGATGGCTTAACTAGCTGAACAATCACGCTGAACAGACATCGCCCTGCTTAATGTGGCATGCAAAACACAGATTTTATTTTTGCAGACATACACTGCTTAAATACTTTATTTTTCAAATTAATCTCCGTAATAAAGGCTCTATTCCACCTTTATTCTGCATAGGTCATATGTAAATTACATATATTACCATGCCAGATGCTCTATAAACAGGCTGGGTAGCATAATATAACTAGAAAAAAAAAAAAAAACACTCACTGCACTCCTAAAATAGATTTGGTAGTAACAGTCACAGTTGGACTAAACAAGATGCTCCTTCTTTTTAGCTTTTTTTAGTGGTCACGCTCATGCTTCATTAGTCGCATGCAGCCACAGAACCACAATCCATCTTCATTTCAAAATTTCTGCCTTGACTTCTCTTGCTGAACACTTTACCCTGGGACCTAGTTCTGAAAGATGCCATTAAAGGAATTAAGATTAGTTATTAGCTCAACTTCTCAGAAGTTCTGGATTTTAGCAGGCAACACCCCTTTAAAAGCATTGCTATTAGAGCACAGATAATGATGAAAAACTCAATTCTATTGCATAATATATTCTACTTGTGAAAGAAAATCACAGGCAACACAAGCTACAGTAAGAGACTTCTGAAAGTCAGCTCAAGCTCTGCCCATCCACTCCACAGGGTCTGTGCAGAAAAGCCATTTACAGTGGCTTTTAGTAGCAAAAAGGCAATATAACCTTCAGTATTGCCAGGAAGGGAGATTTCAGGGAGCCATAGCCCAAATCACAGCAACCAAAAATGTACCTCCAGTTTCTAATCTCATTCAAAGCCAGTCTGAGTCAGTGTCCTATTTAAAGGTCACTTTAAAGCCCCCTGATTTTAACAGATGTTCTAATTCAGAAAATATTTAGGGGAGCAATGGGGGAGCAGTTCCATCCTCCAGTTTTGCAGTGAACTCTGCCATCCTCCTCCTCGCTCCGTTTCCTCATCATCAATAATAACGAAGCGTTGCTCTTTCAGAGATACCCTAATGCAACTGATAGCAGACTTAAGGGAAGGAGGAGGAAGGGCTGGGCAGGGGGAGGTGTGCTGGCAGGGGCAGAAGCCTGGCGTGGCAAGGACTAGGAGGGACAAAATAGGAGCAGTGGGGCCCCTGCCAGCCCCCCTCGCTGCCACTCAGTTGCTACAGCCCTGGCTGGCTCCTAGCTCCAAGGCCACCAGATGCCACTCCTTTGCTCCCTACAGATCCACGGCAGCACATTGCTTTATGATATATCCCAGAGGGCTGCAGCCCCATCTTGAGAACCAAACTGTAAGATGTGTCTTAGAAAACACTGCAGAAGATGGGAAAGAAAAGATGGGGTGGGGAGTGAAGGGGGAATGATTTGGGCAAGAAAATCATTTGAGAACCTGTGCTCCAACTTTCTCCATCAGGTAACAAGTGTGTAATCTACGATCTCTCTTTCCCAGGAAAGAGTATACCAGGGCACACCCTACATAAAAACAAAAAAAGTTTTTACCCATGAGAACAGTGAAGTTCTGGAAATAGCCTGCTAATTCAGGAGCACAACTGATCCTATACCAGAGCTCACTACGTTATAGAAGATATTCTATAACACATGCATGACTTGCAACAACAGAGAAGCACAGCTAATAGTCCAGGAGATTCCTAGGCTCCTAATAATGTCCCATTTTGAAATTGGGATTTCATGATCTTTGAAATATTTATTCCAGATAGCATGCCAATAAAAACAAGCAACTAATAGGAATGAATTGAGTCATATATTGAACATATATCACCAGGGAAACCTTTCAATACCTTCTGCGGAAACCAGACCAAGTGCTAGGCTTCAGTTCACTTCAGCCAATATAGGTATCACCTCTTCCTTGCAAGAGCTAAATTCTATCCCTGACTTAGGGTTATTCCCCAAATTATTTCCTCCATGCTCCCCAACTTCTTTTCTAAGACTCCTAAGACCTCTCAGACCAAGAAATAAACCCTAAAAACAAGACTGACCTCACACCTTGACAGGTTATGTGAGGTCATATACATTTCACAAGCGTATAAAGCCAAGAAACAGCTCTATCAGACCAGCAAGAGAGATCACAGACTGCAGGCAATTTTGGTCTCTGGTGGTTACACCTTTGCCTTGATGACGAGTATGGCCACAACTGATGATCTGAAATTTTAGAGGTCATGTCTGGCATGACAAGCTTTCTCTCTTCTGCAGTGGTTTCTTTGCTCCAGTGATACGGTTTATACAGAGGCCTCCTCCTTTCTAACAAACGCAACACTAGTACAAAGAACCCCATTTTGTAACTTTGTTCTCTATTTACATAATAAGAAACCACATTCTTACCTGAATATCCACCAATCCAGCCTGATCAGTTCCCCGATCAAAACCTGTTAATCAAGCAAAATACAGCTAATAGGCAATTTACATCTTGTGGCACCTGCAGGTCACTAAACTGCCTCCTCTCAGCTCCCCACAGGTTATTTCCAGAGCTCAGAGAAGAATGAGGCAAAAACGTATTTGATGAGAGGAAACTCTGCCCTTCTGGAGGCAGATACAACGGGACAGCCTCCGGATTGGTGGATCCAAGTCACAGAAACCGAAATTTCATGTGAGAAATTGACCTCTCTGTATCTTCAGATCCACCCATCTGGACCAATAGGATTTACACAGGGAAATCCACAAAAGGAAGTGTTGAGCCAGCACTTATCACGGGAAGTCAAACAGCATCAAAAAGCCCAAGTCCACTCAATTCCATCAGGCTGGGGAAGAGGAAACAGGTCAGTAAATAGAAGCACATTTTGAATTAAGAATGCATCTGAGCCAAGTGGTCTGGAATATCCAATTTAAATTTAAGGTCTAGAAAAGTTTTCTAGACAACACAGGAAAAAACAATCCAGCCTATCTGGGGAACCAGACAGGGGATGCAAATATATTACTGTGATGCACCAACTGTGAGAGGAACAGCTCTTGGGAGAAGTGCATGACCAGAAGATGTGACCATTGCCTTTGACACACTAGGGACAATACAAAGGACCTGAGGATATAATAGCCATATCCAAGCTTATTCAACCTCCATACAGAGAAAGCAATCCAACCTGCAACATTCATCTCTTTCAACTAGGAATGGCTATTACAGCTTGTAGCCTCCCAAGAAAGTTTTAGTTCAGACACATCACCTTCATCATCATTTTTGACAGTTTAACAGCTATCATATCTGACCCAAAACATTTCCAAACCTTTGGAACCAGTTACACTATTAACTAGTCCAGAATCCAACCCCTGCCAACAACTGCAATCCCCACAAAGACAGAGCAGCACCTTCTTAATGGATAGTGTTGACAATCACTTGCACAAACACGGAACTTAAGATGTCATCAATTAACAATGAAAGTTCTTCTGTGCTAGACAGGAACCACCATGACTTCTAATGAATCCAAGACAGAAATCTGTGTAGATAAACACAGAAAAGTCAAATCTCTAGAGAAGGCTGATGGCGGGAACTCACTAGCTGAGACTAAACCCCTTATACAATGAAGTGAGGGAGGCTTGAGATAGGAAGGGTCCCAAGATGGGGCTCTACACAAAATTATTATGAGGGTTCGATGATGTTGAGGGAGAGACACAGAAAGTGAAAATATAAAGCCTAGCCTCACAACTAATAAAAAACCCTGTTCTGGAGAGGAAAAGAGAGAGAAAGAGAGAGGGAGCACTTGCTGGAAAACTCACTTGGGGTGGTAAGAGTATTCTTCTAAAAGTATTCATGTAAAAATCTTTAGATTATTTAATTACCAGCAACATATTTCTAACACAGTAAAAGCTTACATGAAAATCTCCAGCATGAAAGAAGCTACCAGAAATAGAAACAGACCACAGAGAGTATATCCTGGGGAAGCAGAAGGAACTCAGCTAAAAGAAAGAGGTAGCGACATGCACAGCAAAGCAGAAGCACGCTATAACCAAGGACACCCCTGAAGAGTCCAGGCAGCAGGGAAAGCTTCACATGCAATTTCTGAGACTTGCCATTGACAAAACTCTTGAGACCCAGTAGAGAACCTAAAGAGGAAAAAATTGGGATATCTTTGCATGCTATCTGGGTTTTGCCAAATGTACAGGCTGTGGGTGGGTCACCCATCAATCTAGATGGGTGGATCTGAGGATACAAAGCTAATTGTTTTCTGTGACAATGTATTATTATTACTAATTAATGTCAGGAACAGCTCTGTGCCACACTTCCATTCAAACTTTAGATAGGGATATGCTGTAACTATCTATCTTGAAAATTTGGTGAGGGCTAATAACTGCGTAACTCCCTTAAATCTCCCTTTTGGTAGAATTACAATCCTCAGTTCCTCATTGTTTATTTGAGTGCTAAAGATTCTATCACAGTTACGTCTTTCATAAGTAACACAGAAACAAGAACTTCTCTCTAATGAAAAATAATAAGCACTGAATAAAGAGACAGGAAAATGACAGTGAATAGGTCCGGAAATTAATTATAAGCATAACTTGCAGTATTAGCTACAATTTAGCTAAAATTAAACAGTTCTGGAAGACAGTAGCTCTAGTGTAAAACAGGATGATCCCAAACTTAACCTTTTTTCATTCTGAAAAAAAGTGGGGAAAAAAATTCACAAAAATTCTCCTACAGTGATTCAGACTCATAATTTGAACAACCTACATATAACTGAAGAAATCAGACTGCTTTTAAAATAACACTGTGTTGGCTAAATAATTTCAAAGTTGTTCCGCTAGTTGTGCCTTTGGCTTTATACTCACATGTGTGGATTTTGGAAAGGAACTCCAGAAGTATTTAGAGTAAATCTTGCTGTGGACTTGAAAGGTGGATTTGCAAAATTTAACTTCAGCGCTTTGCGTTTACCTGGGAGACAATGAACATAAAGTAAACTTTTTGTCAGCAACAAAATATTATTTTGTAAGAGCATCCGGATATAAACAGAAAAAAAATAAACACATTGTAAGAAAAGGAAAACGTGTTTTACCACGACATTAAGAAAGAGCAATTTCTGTTAGGAAAACGGGAACAGAGAAATGGAGTCAATTCTCATCCCAAGGTCTCATTCCGTGAGGTTGGTAGGTCACTTAACAGAGGTGTTCACAATGTCTTCTTTGACAACTGGAATGCAGGGAGCATCAGGTGTCAGCCACCGGCCACCAACAGCCTCAGTGCCCCTGCACCCCAGGGCCCAGCGCCCCCTCCATGCACAATTACTCATGTAAATGTATTTCATGACTGGCAGGCTGAGCTTCAGCTACAGTGCCAAAGGCATCCAACCTATTCAGCATAGCCTGGGCATGCTTAATAAATCCAGAAAGGACAGAGTTTCCCTTAAGGAGGGAAGGGAAGCCACTGCATGTCAAGGACCGGCTTGACCCCCTTCAGCTTAAAAGTAAATGGACATAATCAGGTTTAAGCTAGGACGAAAGAGATCCACTGTGCATTCCTCCTGCCAAAGTGGGTCACCAGCCAAGCAGGGTATGAAATGCAGCCTGTTAGAGAGGTGACCAGGTGAGCCTAAAAACAAGAAACTTTTAAAAACAAGGCTGAACGCACACTTTGACAAGCTATGTGAGGGCCATACATCGCAGCCTCCCACTGGGCTATGAAAGATCCTTTCTTATCTCTGTTTAGCCACAGCAAACTTGGACTCCTCCTCACAGAGTGGCCCAGCTTCAACAGGCACAGCAGAAAGGGGCATCTCCCCAGAAACCAGGCATAGGAGACAGAAATCCCCCCAGGGTGAGCAGGGCTCAGCCCAGATTTCCCACTTTGTGGGTGGATGCCTTAACCCTTTACTGCTAATCTAAAGGGTGGATACTGCCACCTCCCACCCTGGGATCTATGGAGATATATGGAGAAATATCACTTTTGGTGCTGTAAGCTGGTCTGATTTGGTGTACTTTGCCTTTTAGAACATCCTTTTATTTTGCCTTTTATTTTATTAAATCCACTATCATCTTTTGCTCTTATGTTAGGCAGTGAAAGAATGCCCAAACTACCCATTTAACCATCTTATTTGACAAACTGATTAAGTAGCTCCTCAGCATGAGGTTCCACCTTTTAACAATGTTGCCATTTTCAGATCTTCTTCTCATTTTTTTTTCCTATAAAGACAGTTATTTCCACACATGTATTACACATCCTTTATTCTACTGAAAGGCATCTAATTGGAGTTGTATGTTCCCTCCCCAGGCTCAGCTGGGCGGACTGATACCTCTGAATCCTGACGTACCTCCATCCCTGCCTTTCACTACAGCTGTCCAGGGTTCTGTAGCACCAAGAGTACCTGATCTGCTACTGACAGAACCAACATAACCTTGCTTTGTGCAAAATAACACAGAGGAGGGCATTTATAGACTTAATACTATCACGTTTCTAAACAGGATAACCAAGCCTCTGCTACTACTAGGACTTTGTCACTCCAAAGTCTTCCAGAGCAGGCAATACAACTGAAAGTCTTATGTGGATAGTGAAAGGCAAATACCTCTAGATGGACAGAGCAGCAACATGACACTTCAAAGAATGCCAGTGTTGCCTATCCACACACACCATGTCCTGATCGCCTTTCCTTCTTCCCTGAATCCCCGGCATCCTCCAGCAGAGAGGTGAGAATCATGTCTTTGCTGCAAAACACGCAGAGGAGCCAGATACGGCTGTTGGGCAAGTACAGAAAGAAGAGTTTCTAAGCTCAAGCTCTTGTGGCACGCTTGAGCCCAACGAACTAGTGGAGAATCACTTAAAGTGTGGAAGCTCAATTACTTAATCCAGAAATGAAGGAGGTGAACAACATCAGGAAGGTGGTAAAATCAAGATGATAGTCTATCATATCCTGTGTAATGAAACTTCAGGACTCATTACCCTACCACATCTTTGAGGCCAATCAACTAGCAATATTCCTGAAGATCAGACGTTTGCACGAACAACAAGAACATTCAGTTATCATTAACAGTATTTGGAGCCAATAGAGAAGGAGAATAATTTACATCTCACACCTATCTCTTGAGAAATCCTGCCACTTTCCTCTGAAACTCACAGCACTGGGCAGGTCTGACTCTATAGAGGAAACTGCAATTTCCTGGCAGGGTGATCTGCAGAGTACAAACCTGTCCAACAGCCCCAACGCTGCACCACTGCCTAACTGATCTCAGAGACCTCTTTCAACCAAATCCTTGACAGCGTCAAGGACAAAGCACAAACACTGAATTCACTACTGCAAGGGATTTCACATACTTATTAGTCTGCATATGTATTCCTAAAACTTTCCCCTGATCATTTCTTCTTTCTAGGTCCTGCCCCCGCCATTGTGCGGACATGCGTGGGTGTTAAGCACTTGGCAGGTACTTGCAGATAATGGTTATACAATCCCTTAGTCACTTTTCCTGTTACAGCTGTATAAATTCTGCTCTCAGACTAGGTCCAATGATTTACAGCTTTCATCATTCTTCTAGTTTTGTTTTATTCACATGTCTGAAACACTATCCCTCCCTCTGAAGGGCAATAGCACAGTGTCATAAGATTTTCCATTTCTAACTACAACATTTACACAACTTAGTAGAACGTTTGTCCTTGAGGTGGCACAATATTGTAAGTGACACAACTGACTCGCTAACTCCTACCAGTAAAATCTCCTCTTCTCAAAAGCTATTCTAAGCTATTAAACTATTAGCTATTAAATAACAGCTATTAAAAGCTATTTCAACTAAGTAAAGCTATTCTTTACTTAGTTGAAAACCCCCAAAACTTTTTATAACAAGTTTCACCCCGTTTTCAAATTGTGCCAGAACACTTTCTGTCCCAGTTAAACATCAACCTACTGATTTCTGTCTCAACAGTCTTCCAAGAATAGTTTCAATAATATAATTCCTCCACATAGATCTAGATTTTGCATGAATGCAATAAATACAGAAGCCTAACCTCTCCCTGGCATGAACACAAAATAGCTTCCTTTTGCTCAAGTGATGAACAA